ATCATGGGCGTTGCCCGATGCATCCTGATGGATGGCGATCAGGCACGGCACGCCGCCGCCCTTCTGGTATTCGCCGCGCACGGTGTGGCCGGGACCTTTTGGTGCGATCATGACGACGTCGACGGAAGCCTTTGGCTCGATCAGGCCAAAATGGACATTGAGGCCATGGGCAAACGCAATGGCTGCGCCGTCACGGATATTGGCTTCGATGTGGTCCTTGTAGATGTCGGCCTGCAGTTCGTCAGGTGTTGCCATCATCATCAGGTCGGCCCAGCCGGCAGCTTCAGCCACGCTCATGACCTTGAAGCCATCGGCTTCGGCCTTCTTTGCCGTGGCCGAGCCTTCGCGCAGCGCAACAGCGACGTTGCCGGCGCCCGAATCCTTGAGGTTGAGCGCGTGTGCCCGGCCCTGCGAACCGTAGCCGATGATGGCCACTTTCTTCGACTTGATCAGGTTGAGGTCTGCGTCACGATCATAATATACGCGCATGATAGTCTCCCGTTTGCGTGTGTTTCGTTGTCTTTGGTGTCTTACGGGCAGCAGGTTCATCACTTGCTGCCAATTTCAGTTCCCGCTCCTTGCGACGACCGAGCGTGTGGCCTTCGGCTTGGTGCGCTGGTGGTCTCAACCTCGTCCGTAGAGGCGCATGAAGTCTGCCGCAGCACGTGCGGATATGGATTGGATCTCGTCAGCATCAGGGCGTTGATCTTCACCCAGAAGCGCTCTGATTTGCGTATCGGCCACCACCAGCCCGAAGAAGGTGCGGCAAGCCGTATCAACCTGATCGAAGCTCAGCAAGCCCTCTGCCCTGCCCGCCTCGAACAAAGGCTCAAGCCGGTGTCGCATGGCAAAGGGGCCGTTGGTCAAGACAATCGCACCAAGCCGGCTCTTGTTCGATCCGGCGTGGCTGACGGCAGCGCGATTGAGCGCGATCGACAGATCGCCGGTGATCACGGTGAGCCAGCTTGTTGCAAAACCGGTCAACGCCGCCTCAAGGCTTTCTCGGGTCAGCCTGTCCTGCGGCAGTTTCGGCATTTGCACTTTCGATGCCTGCCAGCGCACGGTGGCGGTGAGCAGCCCGTCGCGGTCGCCGAACCACTTGTACAGCGTCTCCTTGGAGCAGCTTGCAGCGCGTGCCACGGCGGCGACCGAAAACCCGTCACCCTCAGCCACCATCAGCTTGAGCACCGCACCGAGCACTTCCTGCTGCCGCTCGGACAGCCCCTCACCCACCGATGCGCCAAGGGCGGCATCAGCGGGTGCTGCGGTCTGCTTGGGAGCAGTTTTGGGGGCAAGGGTCAAACTCATGAAAGGCGTGTACCGTACCGTACGGTACCGTGTCAAGTCTGAGAATATGGCTGCAGGGGCGTCGAAATGAAATCGCGAAACGAAAAGCAAAAAGCTGCATCGCCAGACGCCCATTTCATCGGCTTCATATTGCTTTCAGGAAATACTCGTCTGGCGCGGTAACAGCGGCCATTTCCCGTCTGGCGCAAAGTCACCGGATCTTATTGCCTGCCCGAGACCGGCTCAGGGGTTGGCAGCAGGCGGCAGCGGATCATGGTGGTGGGCGGGTTGCCGGGCGCGGTGGTGAGATTGAGCTGGCGGCTCGACAGCATCTGGATGCCGATGGTCCGCCTCGTGGTCTTGTTTCCCCGTGCCTTGCAGGTCGCGTCCAAACGGGCCAATGGCGAACCGGGCTGGCCTTGCTCGAAGCTGCAGGTTTCGGCTGAACGGCGCATGCTGTCGGGGGTGATGACGGCAAAGCCCTGAAACGCGGTCTGATCCATCATCGCGCATCTGTCACCATCGGTGGCCCAAACGCCTACATAGGCAAGCCGGCTTTGGCGGCGGTCATGGTTCAGCGCGGTCAGCGTGTCCTCGCGCAACAGGCTTTCCGGCGGCAGCACTGCCTCGAGATTGACCACAGGCTTTTTCGCCGACGGCGGTGGCGGTGCAACACAGCCTGACAGCGCCAGTGCCAAAATGGCGAATGTGAACTTGATGCGACTCATAAGGCCCCCGTTGAAGCGTTGTCGCTTTCTGGCCGAGCAATCTGCCGTTTTCAAGTTCAGTTTGCAGAGATTTATCGCGTCATCGCGCTGCCGCAGCTCTTTTCGGGCAGGATTTTTAACGCAACCGCCGAGAAAACGGACAAGAACCGGCATCCGCATCCTCAGGGATGGCTGGGTATGGCTCTGAGGGCAGGAAAGGATGAGTGCAGCCAAAGCCCCTGAATGTCAGGCCTTGCCGTCCGCGTCATATTGCTTTCTTGCCGCATCGACCTTGGCAAAATTGTCGCCGGCCCAGACCACCAGATCGTTGATCGGGGTCAGCATCGAGGTGCCGAGCTCGGTCAGGCCGTATTCGACGCTTGGCGGCTTGGTGGCGTAGACCTTGCGGTAGACATAGCCATCCCGCTCGAGATCGCGCAGGGTCTGGGTCAGCATGCGCTGTGAGATGTCGGGCACCAGCCGGCGCAGCTCGCCGAACCGGTATGGCTTTTCGCTCAGCGCCAGTATCAGCAACGTGCTCCACTTGCCGAAGATGCCCTGCATGACCTGGCGCACCGGACAATTCTCCAGCTTGTGGTCTTCCGGCATCATCTTCAACCGGTCGGAAAACGAGATATGCGCGTCCATGGTGGTTCCTTCGAGGTAACTATCAGCAGCAAAACTGCCTTCTTTCGCATGCCCTTTACATACCATATGTGAAGCAACTCTCAATATGAGAGCAGCTTAATTTTTGAGACAGTCGCACCGAGACGTCTCACAGGAAAGGAAAATGACATGACAGGCAAACTTCTTGTAACGGGCGCTTCCGGCAAGCTCGGCGCAGCGGTGATGCATCACCTGCTGGAAACCTACAATGTACCGGCCTCATCGCTCATCGCCGGCTCGCGTGACACGGCCAAGCTCGGCGATCTTGCTGCCCGTGGTGTGGAGACCCGGGCGGTTGATTTCGATGATGCGTCGCTTGCAGAGAGTTTTGCGGGTGTGGACCGGATCCTGATCATCTCCACCGACGCGCTGGATGCCGAAGGCACCCGGCTGCGCCAGCAGTTGGCCGCCGTCGCCGCCGCGAAGGCAGCCGGTGTCCGCTATATCTCCTACACATCAATGCCGAACCCGGGCGACGCCAAGGTCATTTTTGCGCCTGATCACAAAGGGACCGAAGACGCCATCATGGCATCGGGCCTCGGCTACACCATTTTCCGCAACAGCTGGTACATGGAAAACCTGATGATGACGCTGCCGCAGGCGCTCGCCATGGGACAGTGGTACACCTCTGCAGGCGCCGGCAAACTTGCCCATATCTCCCGCGAAGACGTGGCCCGTGCGATTGCGGCAAGCCTGGCAAAGAGCGCATCCGAAAACGCCATCTACACGCTGACCGGCCCGGTCGCCCGCACGACAGACGAAATCGCAGCCCTGGTGTCAGAGATCACCGGCAAGCCGCTTGCCGTTGTCCATGTCACCGACGCGCAGCTGGCGCAGGGCATGGAAGGCGCCGGCGTACCGGCTCCGTTCATTCCGACATTTGTCTCGTTTGACACCAACACGCGTGAAGGCAAGGTCGACATCGTAACGGATGACGCGACCGTGCTTTCGGGCAGCGAGCTGACATCGCTAGCCGACTTCCTGAACGCAGTGAAGCCAGCGCTGCCGGGCTGACAGTTAAACTCGACATTACCGGGCTGCGCACGCCCACCCAAGCTTGCGTCATGGTATTGATCTCCTGCCATGACGCTCGCCTCCCTCTGTCCTTTGGCGATGGAGGGAGGTTACAGAGAAACTCAGCCGCAGGCCCTGACAAAACGACGGACGGTTTCGGCCATGCCGAATTCCAGTGCGTCCGCGGTCAGGCCGTGGCCGATGGAGACTTCGAGCAGGTCCGGGATGGCGCGGGCGAGAGCCGGCAGATTGTCGACCGTGAGGTCGTGGCCGGCATTGACGCCAAGACCCAGCTCGGCGGCGATGCTTCCCGAGATTTCGAGCTTCTTCAACTCCTCGGTCGCACGGGCCGGATCATCATAGGTTCCGCCATAAGGGCCGGTGTAGAACTCCACCCGGTCGGCGCCGGTGGCCTTGGCGGCTTCCAGGGCTGCACGGCTGGCATCGGGATCACAAAACAGCGAGACCCGTGCGCCGCCCTTCTTCAGGCGTTGAACGACCGAACGCAGGACATTGCCCTTGCCCTCGAAATCCCAGCCATGATCGGACGTCGCCTGCGACGGATCATCGGGCACCAGGGTCACCTGCTCGGGCGCATTGGCGTCCACCAAGTCGAGGAATTCCCCGGTCGGATAGCCTTCCATGTTGAACTCGGCCTGCGGGAATTCGTCGTCAATCAAGGCCCGGATCTCGGGAAGGTCGGAAAAGCGGATATGTCGCTGGTCGGGACGCGGGTGCACGGTCAGGCCGTGGGCGCCGTTTTGCAGCGCGATGCGCCCCAGGCCGGTGACACTGGGCCATGGCAGATCGCGGCGGTTGCGCAGCATGGCGACAGCATTGAGATTGACGGAGAGTTGAGCAGGCATGAAGCCCCCCTGGACATGAACGATCTGACGAGCCACAGGCCCTCAGAGATTTCCTAAAGCATCTGTCTTGGATGTAAA